GTGTGTATGTGAGTGCATAGTTTTTATGACTTTTACGTCGTAGTGCAATCATGGAACTCTTTAAGTTAATTCACAAGTCTATTCACAAGTCTTTTTTAACAAACAATGACGTGTGAGGCATGTTTTAGACAATTTTCCCGACACCCTTGCATTCATTATTTTTTCCCTTCGAAGTGCTTTAACACGACTGTCTTTGATATGAAGCGAAAGTAACGTAAATCGGATTAAAAAAGCACGCACAATGAATTATGTTACAATCCATAACTAGATTTTATCTTTGGGCATCGTTTAATATTTCGTAGTGATTAAGCGTCCGGCGTTGACAAATCCCTTAGGAACGCACCATGCATTGGACTCAATTCGTGAAGATTATTAATTGTCCATTTGCTTTAACAATGAATTACGGTGGCATACGGATGTATCAAGTCGGTACTTTCTATCTTTTCCGACTAATCTCGCACCAGTCTACCTACCCATTCGGGAAGGATGGAAGGCCTGGCTTCACCGGGATGCGGGATCAAACCAAAGAACGCTAGTTGTGTTGAAGACATCTCTAAGGAACAGTAGAAACACTCATTTTCGATTGTTAACAAACAAAAATTGGTGCCAAACTACAGTAACTACCTAAGCACTGAGTGATGAAGCGCCAACGTATCGCTTCCACCAGTTATTTTCCTTAGTACATGAGGACATTTCTTGAAATAAGGAAGACTTTTTTGATCGAAATGTGCTTATATTAGAATGGACCTTTATGTAAGAGGAATTTATCGGATGTGAGTAATTTTACACCTAAGAAGTTTATCGACTAGAGTTTCTTCTCATTGAATTGCAACGAGAAACGAGATATGTTTCTTGGAAATGAAATGAACATCACATTTTACAACAAAAACCAAATGATGATAGCGTGTTTTTCTTTCTGAGATGTCAGTGCAATTCTTTGCCAAATATGGGATTTTTCCACACATCTCTGTGATTTTCACTGGGGACACTGGGTATCGACTGGGCACAGCTGCAATCGGTAGACGACATTGGAATAATAATGGTTGAAGTCCCTTCTGGTATCGAAGAACAATAGGATACTCTACGCAGAGGTTAGGGGTGCCCTACGTTATACGCAGGGTAGATGGTTCGATCAAGTACCTTAGACAAACCAAGACAAACAACTATGTTTAGAGACCCAGATAGAGGAGGACTACGCTCTAGAATCATTCTCTGTGAGCCAGCCACCAATTCTGGCGAATTGTTCAGGAGTTTACAGTTTAGGTTCTAGATTTGTATTGAAACATAAAAACGTTTACGTTAGCAGCCTTCTCAAGTTATTGTATAGAAAAACAGTGCATTATTTGATTGCCTCTATGATGCTACGAGTAGAGTCCAATACATATGGCAACTCTCAGCGATTGATAAATGCCGAGCGGCTCAGCGTTTATCCTGTGTATGAAGCCATTAAGCTATTTCACATGCTTAGAACACTTGGAGATGGTGATCAGGATTTTCTGTTAGCATTAAAAATCAATCGATTTCTCAAGGGAATACGATTTTGACTAGAATTCTCTCGAGCTTCCGCTATTGAGGAACTTCGACCTTTCTTTTTTTGTTGTAGGCGTGAGAACATATACAGTTACGAGCTTAAACAAGTCATCCCGAATATTTAGACCTTTCTTGAGCTCTTTCATAAATTTGCATTGCAGCCAATATTTTAGAAGATGAACTTTTTTTGCTGACTACACATGAAAGAAGCTTTCTTCAAACTTAGCGTCATTAATAGAGGGTTCATCTTTCTAGCAGATTGACCCATACTGATGAGCTGAACATCTCCGTTTAGAGAGCCCAGATAGAGAAGGACTACGTCCTGGGATTTACCTCTGGGAGCTATTCGTGGGTCATCTAGTCAGAAAAGAAAGAGGAAGGAAAACTTCAGATAAAACACCTTAGACGAGAATTGTGACGCTCTAGATTCTGAAAAGTCACTGAGAAACATTCCTGGCTCGTAGGAATACTCACGATTTCTTCAAAAGTAAAGTATTGTCAGAGGCAAAGTCCAGTGCTGAGCATTTGGTCGTCCACTTCGCCTTTACGGGTGACTTTTTCAACCGGTGTACTTCTTTGTCTATTTGCTCTATTTGAAATTTTGCTTATTTCCCAGTATTACTTTGTAAAAATTAGTAGTTTTTACTTTACTATGTAATGATAATGTGATATTGCTTATTAATAATGCGAGATATTATCCTACATGCATTATTCAAGCGGTCTTCTAGAGATGAATTACGATAACAGGTTTTCTTTCCATTACTGTAGGTCCTATTAACTGGTAGGGTGCGTGTGGCGCAGTGGTCGGAGGCGCATGCAAAGCACACAGGAACCGATCCCCACTCCCATGGCCCACTAAGTCCTCCATCCCTCCGGGGTCGTGGAATTGGTGCCAGACTTGTCTAGGGGGATAACAGCACTAGCTCGATACTTCGGTAGGTCACCGGACGTTAGTGTAAAGGCCAGATATGCACTCAATCACCTCCAAACGATGTTTAGTGAAGTCGAATGCATGGCGCATCCCTCAGGGATTGATCAACGCCAAGAGCTTTATCCTTTATCCTTTTATATTAACTGATTGCAGATCGTCCACGTTCAAAGTGATATGTTCTATCCGACTATTCGCATAAACCATCTGATAAGCTCAGATTCTAGTGTTTTTCTCTTATTATGACCTTATATGTTTTGTACGAATAAGAATCCTCTGAAGGAAAAGAAAACATACAATCTCACATCTACTTATTTTTCGTTGATGTCAGTAGAAAACATTCCACGTCAAATCTGATAGAGCTGGTTATACGCAAAAGTCGAGGATTATCGACGACATATAAATCCCTACTATTTTCTGGCGTTTTGCAAACAATGGCTTCTCTTTGCCTCTGTCACCTCAGCGATGTCGTTGTTCTTCATCTTTCAATTCATATTGTTACGTACTCAACGGAATCTTGCTTCGATTTTAGCTTCCATGTATCGTCATGTGTCTTTACAAATTCTAACAATAATACCTCAAACCTTTATATGAACTTTAAGATTGTGGCAACATCTCACCTCTAATCTTGAGATTTCCACACAATTCTTCCCTATTACTGCCATATTGAAAGTGAGGGAAAAGAGGTCCTTTATCTTCACTTCTTTTTGTGGAAATGTACTCCCAAATAACTAGTCATGCTTGCCCACGACGCCTTTGTATATTCACTGCTAGCTTTCCAGTATTCCGGGACATGTTTGGCGGAAACAATCCTGAGGCACATCCTGTTGAATTCTCAGTACATGTATGTCATTGGAGTGCAATTGAGGTACTCAAGAGTGCACGACTGTTCTTTGATTCGATCTTCCGCCTCCAGCTATCCAAGCGTCGCATTCGTCCGTGGTCGGCAAATTAATGCCGGCCTTATCTGGGAGGACTAAAACACTGTTTTAACACATCATTAGTCTCCAAAAAGTGACTATTTAGATCAAACATCTACTCAATTTTCTCTACGGTGCTAAGAATGGAATCGAATGCATAGCGCATCCCTAGGAAATTTATCAACGCCGGACGCTTTATCCTTTTTTTCTACACACTTAATATCCTGCTTTTCGCCAAATCGATTCAGTATAGGGAGAGAGAAACTTTCCACTCGTAATCTGTTTGTGTCTTAAGAGAATCATATAGCCGCTTTTATCGTGCTTTTAATCTCTTTCCGCCGCCGACGGATGCACTATGTAACCTCGTAACTAAGCAGCGTGAGATGTCGCATATGCTGAAGATCTGTGGAGATTGTTTGGATATACATAATAATCCATTCGTCTACCATCATGACTGGATCAATGTCGACATTTTTAAACTTATAAATAAAGAGAAAATATAATGCACCACCTACATATTACTTGGGAAGTGTTTCTTCATTAGTAATTGCGCAGATCATAGTACAAGTTATATTTGTAGGGTATTTCATCAGTTCCAGTGCATACTTCCAGCAAGGCGATAATTCACGCGACGTAGATACTTACCGGACGGGAACGATTTGCTCTTACTGCTTTCCTTCCAGATATTCTTTTGAATGAAAATGTCGATTATGCATAAGTAAAGGATATAGCTCCCGGCGTTGATCAATCCTTAAGGGACTTCGCCAACCATTTTTGAAGGTAACTAAATGCGCCATTTGGCCTATGCAATGCGAAGGCTTATGGATCTCTCAAGTCAATATTTTTTTCCTATAAGACATCTACGGTATCGATTGTAAGACTTCTGGAGGAATAAGAGATTTGGCTTCTATGGATGTGGAGAGGAAGCACGTGTGTATTGCTGGACAACTCTAGCCGCTGCACTGCACACACTCTAGAGGAATAATCGAGCTACGAAACTCTTGCTTGTCCTGCGCACCCATCATTGACTAGTTTCAAGCATCTCGACAAATTCCTGTGGAGAATAGCCTTTCAGAATAACGAAGTAGTTGAAAGTGGCTTCGGATGTAGTATCAGCTTCAAGGGTTCAGAATCACGGATCACTGGAATTAGCACTGAACGTCGACAAAATATTTGCTAATCCACTTTTATTTTAATTAGTGAAGTTGTGTTAGCGGAACCGTTCCAGATCGGCATTATTTTTACATCATAAAACTTTCTATCTTTTCATAAATTTCTTCCTGTTTCGTAACCTAAGCCGAGTTCATCAAAATATTTTTTTTCAGGACATATCTTCCACCAGTTCCTCAGGCAGACACCACTCGGCCTTGTTACGTAGAATGCAGTTTTTAAATTCTTCCACTGGTAATGTGTCGGCAAGGTGAATTTCGATTTTGATTCGCCATTATGTTATAGAAGATGATAGAAGAATGTTAAAAAAACTTATTACTTTACAAATTTGTTATGAAAGCCTATAGATGTTTGGAATTGATTGCATGGGATTTTCAAGGAAACAATTTAGTCTTCAAAATTTGGACCATCCGGATGCCACATTCTTCATTTTTATCTACCTGTTTAAAATAATGGCACACGTAAAGCATGGAGGTTGGAGATGACTTCCAATAATGCACGTATGTTTTTTGGTTCAACTCTGACATGGGCTATCCTACTGGAGTCAGCAGATTTGTACCAGAGTTTTCCGGGAAAATCTCCACTCCACATAGGCAGTCGACTTAGGAGCGATCTAGTACAGCTATCCCAGATTCCATTGAGGATATCCTCGACCAGCTGTTTCAAGGACGTTCATGAAGAAGACGAATCCATAAGTGACGGCCATGTCAAATCTGCAAATCTAAATGCTTTCGTCAACGGCGGATACGAGACAGCGAATCGAATGAAGGAAGTGCTGAGATCCAGACAATACGCGACAACGGAACATGTGAATGGATGAAGTGAACAGTACACAAATGAGTGCAAAAGGAGCCAAAGAGAATTATTTCAAAACAACAGTCCGAATCATTAACTGAAATAAATCTAGACGAATTGACAAATCATCTTCATACGAAGCCCATGTTTACTACATTCTTTCATTGACTTGAAATCTTCATCCAGCTCAACACGTTTGCGACTGTGCTCAATCTCTGGGTTGTTGCCGACTGGACGATGCCTAATTTTAAGCCTTTACGGCCCAACTTTTCTTGAAAATGGATAATAATTTTTCGACAACCAGCGACCAACCAGTTTTGCCTTCATCAGAGCCGTTTATTCGTTGTAAGCATTCCAATTAGTTGGTGGATAGCAACCGCACAGAGTAATACATGGGTGAGAACAGTCGCACCGTACCGACCTCGTGTCTGTTCATTAAAGAAAAACAGCGAATTACCAATCTATGCCGAGGCTAATAGAAAGCCGGTCTTAAAGGATAAAAGAATAAAGCTCTCGTCGTTGATTAATTCCTTTGGGATGTGCCATGCATTCGACTTATTGAGTATCGTTGGAGGTGATTGAATGCATACCTGACATTTACAATGACTCGCGATGGCCTACCGATGTATCGGGCCAGTGCTGTTATCCTTCCAGACAATCTGGTACCAATTTTCCAACCCCGGAGGGATGAAAGGCTTTGTGAGCTATGGGCGGGGGATGAATTCCACGTGTGTGTCGTAGCGGCGCCTCCAACTACTGCGCCACACGCAGAAAGTCGGTCTTAGGAACATTTATAGAACTATTTACTACATATTATTATGGTCTACCATGCAAGTACATTAGTATCAGTATTTGAGAGTGTTTTCCAGCTTATGGGTCTCTACATTAGTTTTTTATACCCACACCCTATATACCCTGTACGTTAACCATCATTCACTGTATCAATTAGAATGGAACTTGTAGACGATTAGCACGACGTAGACGTGACCCAGTGACAATGACCCGAGGTTGCCCGCCGATGTACTTGTAGACGTAGACGAATTTCTGATCGGCGCATTCGTTCGGAAAACAGTTTTTTATATTTCCAAGTGTAGAACAGAGCTTTTGCCGAACAACGCCCAACACAACATCTGTGCTCTACAAGGTTTTAATGATAACAAAAAGTATAGACAAATAGCCTATGTGTTAAAATAAAGCACCAAAAAGAAAATGAGATCTATAAGTATTATTATCGGCCGCTCCCGCTGAACCATTATGACATCCACTGTTTTTCTACAGTGAGAAACCTGAGGTTGCTACCGTACCATTTATTAGCACACAATTGCTGACGTTTCAGGGGTTTCGCCTTCTTTAGAACCTGGAAAGGTCAAATTGGCATGCCATCTACTCAGCCAAACACTTTCATAATCTCAAGAGATAAAGCTTAACATATAAATTTGCGTTCGCACAATAAACAGTTTCTTTTAAAACCCACCGTTTTATTCGTTGTAGGTATTCCAGTTAATTAGTGGAGAGCAGCAACACAGGGTAATACATGGGCGATGAATGCGCCTCTATCAGGTTATTGGATTAGCCTGAGGAGTTGCGAGGCCACTGGTGTTCACAAGACACTCCTCCTTGCTGTTCATTTTTGGATTTTTTGGAATTAATCCAAATCGCTCCAACAGTTTTAAGCGCTGATGTTTTCGGTACGTGCGTGAGGATAGTGACTTCTACGTCAAAATCTTCTCCGTTGTATTCCTGTGCCCTATGCGCGCCTAGTGGAGTGTTTTCAAGCTACCGACTAGGTGTTCCTTTAGACGGGCCCAGAGTGTTCGACCCTTTTTGCCAACGTTTTTGTTTCTACATGCTTTACAAGAGATGAGACACACCGTACTCGTACTCATGCAATCACCATCTCTACCTTAAAGTCTTATTATGCAATTTTTCAGTGTACATAGGAAGTCACACAGGCGGTTTCGAACTAGCTGGAGTCTCAAAGTGCTCGCTGATATTTCAATTACTGTTACCGAGTGTATTATTACAGAATTATCAATCAACGCCGAGCTTAATGATGGTCGATCTTGGGAATTGCTACATTGTGACATCTAGTGTCACTTGGTGCGAGAGGGTCAATGTACATGTTCGGATACAGATTGAGAATCTTTCGTTTTTTGTATGAAAAATTGAATGATTCTTAAGCGCATATTCTTTCTTGAATTCCGATATAACTGTGCGAACTCAGTCACAGGTCTTCATCGCAAGCATGTGTAGTCCGTTGTGGATCGGCGAGAGGATTGCTTTGAGACTAGGATTCTGCCAGGGTAACAGCAATTCTTGTTGTAGTCGATTTAAGGAGAACATAACATACCAAGCCTCAATGAATAATGAATTAGGAAGTTGGTAGAAAAACGAACTGAAAACTTGTGAAAAATGAAAGTCGAACTTTTTAATGAGTAAGACCTGTAATGAATAACCTTCATGTTTTCCCTTTTTCTTTTTTCTTTTTTTCTTTTGTTTTTTTGTTTTTTTTTTGTTCAGTAATTTCGACTGATTACAGCAGTCTGGATGACAGTCAGAGCATTGGAAAAGTTCGACTAAAACCGCTATCTAGAGCCAAGAGTCATTCACCGTTGAAGCAAATGCGAACCTACTCCTACAGATCACTCAACAGCGAGGAAAACGCGCTCGATAAGACGGTAAGTATTCGAAATGGAATCTATTAATGTATACATTGAGTGTGTTCTCGAGGTAACCTGCAATACATGCATAGTCATTGCTTCCATTCACACACCCGGGTGAACCATGCAAACCATTACTACGTGATCGGTTTACTGATAAGCGTACTTGCCTGGGAAGAGCCTTCGATCTACAACAGCTAATTTTTGCCTATGGTGAAAGCACCTAGGAACACTTATCACTGCTAAACAAGGATCCCATGAATCGTTTACTTGACTAGTGCAGAGCCTGTCAGGTAGTGATCTATGGCCTCTAATGATTTTTATTTTTTAATATTTGGATGGCCCGTACTCACTGGTAGTTCCGACTCCAGCACAATTTCCACTCGTTTCTTTTCCGCGCATTCGTCATTTCATCATGCATGGTGGTGCTCTGCTCCGAACATAGTGACGTCAGCAAGGCCATTTCCGTAATCCTGAAATCATCATTCGCGAATGCAGAAAATTGGCATTAAATATGAAGAAGTCTGCCTGTCGTTTGGTTGCTCTTCCAAGGGTACGCTTGCATTGTCTTAGAGTCCACTCCATGAGAATGTTTTTGTTACAAATAATGCAATTCAGTGTGAACTGAGACATGGTGTTTTGAATCTGAAAGGGCTCATTATTTTCACATCGTACGCTTTGAAATCAGTGCGCATCACTGCGAATACCTTGAAATTATAAAAATTAAAGAAAAATGAGAAAGAAAAGCAAAAGAAGGGTATCGGTTGGTATGGCGGTAGCACTTGAATCTCCGGTAAGGGTAATCGTGAGCTCGAAGCCCACCTGAGATTCCGAGTTTTGCTCGTATCTAAGCACTTTTGTAGTCGTATTTCACGTCGTAACCCGTCATTAAGAGAGGAGTAGGCAGTAAATAAAAGTTAAGACATTGTGCAGAAACTGCTTTTTGAACCAGTTTCAAGGCTTAAATTCTAGTATTATTGAGAAAAAGACGGTTTTTGAAAAATTTATGAAAAGTCACAACGAATAGGAAGGACATTCAACCGCTTAGTGTGAATTGCTGCTGCAAGTTTTCCTGTTTCGAATAGTTCATTGAAAGTACTAAGATCAATAATTTTCAAATCCTTCGAATTACCTCTAATGAGGAAGTCCTATCTTGATCAAAGTTTTTCGTTTGTGAAAGAGAAATGGTGAGTGGTAAAATGTTTGGTGCTAATCAATCCCCTGGAGATGTTCAATGCATTCGATTCCATTCGTAGAATCGAAGAAGCCATTTAGTACGTCTTTGGCTTATGCAGTGATTTGCGATAGTACACCAATGTATTAAATCACTTTTTTGCTATCGTTCCAGACAAGCTGGTACTCATTTACTAAATCGAAACGGATGAAAAGTTTGATGAACCCCGAAAGCGAATCGGACTGGCGACCATCTATTATTTTAGGTCACCTTTATCCCATGTTATGTGCGCTCCATATATTTTATACATGTCAAAAATCTAAAAGGATCGCTTAATCTGTGAAAGGTTATCACTTGTTAAAATTTGCAGTTGCGTAGAAGTCCATTATGAAATTGTTAAAATTGTGTTACTGATGTAGCTTTTCGTGCTCTAGAAAGATTCTAAAAAATTATGAGATCACGACAAAAAATGTGCTATAAAAGGATAAAGTTCTCGGCGTTGATCAATTCCTGGAGGAAAATGCATTCGACCTCATTACGCATCGTTTGGAGGTGATCGAATGCATATCTGGCTTTACAATGACCCGAGGTTGCCCGCCGATGTATCGAACCAGTGCTGCTATCCTCCCAGACAAGTTTGGTACCAATTTCCCGACCCCAGAAGGATGGAAGGTTTGGTGATCAACGGGCGCGGGGATCGATCCTATGTGTGAGTTGCAGCACGCCTCCGACCACTGCGCCACACGCGCTGTTGAAAAAATGTGCTGTAGTTGAAATTTCTATATTTATTTATGTGATCTTATAAACTGATCTTCTTAAGCTGACGCGAGGTTGGTACAGATCTTCGTTGTCGTTGTCGTTGTCGTTGTTTTTGATGTTATTGAACGATGGCTGACGTTTCGGCGACTTCGCCTTCCTCAGAGCCGTGATGTTACGTGCGGGACTCAGATCAGTTAATAAGATCATATAAATAAATATATCAACTATCTATGCCGAGGTTCATAGAAAGTCGGTCTTTCGAGTTATTAATGAAATTTTTATAGTTTTGTAAAATCTACCAGTTTTGAAACGGACATACTCACGCAGTAAATTTTGATATGGCAGTCTGTCCAGATAAATTCATACGATTACCATTAAAAAAGGGGCGCGTGTGGCGCACTGGTAGGAGGCGGCCTGCAAAACACGCATGGGGTCGATCTCTGCTCCCGTGGACCACTAAGCTTTCCATCCTTTCCGGGGTCGGCGAATTGGTACCAAACTTATCTGGAGAGATAGCAGCACTGGCTTGATACATCGGTTGGTCATCGCGAGTCAGGCCAGATACGGTAGGAAGGATACGGAAGGCCAGATACGCATCCAATCACCTCTAAGCGATGGTTAATGAATTCAAGTGTAACGCGCATACCTCAGGGATTGATTGACCAACGCCGAGAGCTTCATGTTTTTAGTTTTTATCACCAAGAAAATCTAAAGCGATCCATTACTGTGTTTACTTTCTATGATTTGAGTCAGATCCGAGAACCTAGTGAGAACCACAAACATATTTATCGTAATAAAGACGAACTCGGTTATTTCAGGCATGCGATTTGATAAAGAGTTCATGGCATGAGGCCACGATAAAAGCGAATGCAGTTGGACATGATTTTGGATACTTTGTCTTTCAACGTATTTTCCAGAAGGATCCAAGTCTGAAGACGGCGTTCGGTTTGAAAATGGTGCGTGATTTATCCGAAAATCTTAGATTACAACGACTCTGCATCGCTCTTCACTTTGCAAGCATTCTAAGAAAGGATTACTCAAATTACCCACGGCTTCGACATTTGCATTATAGACAAATTAATGTGGAGCTGGAACCTACCGTGAATTTAATTAGGATCTCGTGATAGATTTTCATGGCCCGGAATGTTTAGAGCTTCATGAGCAATTTGTAAAGTAACCATCTAAATCATCTTCAGTGACGTGAAAACAAATAATCCCTCACTAAACTATTCCCACCCGGTTGGTCTAATGGCTAAAACAATGCCGAAAAAGAACTGGAACTTCGGAACATGCGATGGAATAGTTTTTAGGGCTGTCTCCTCGTCAACAAAAGCTTCGGCTGTGAATATCGATTCTTTCCAATAACTAGCGAACTTAATTGGGCGTAAGTTGAAGTCGAAAACATGTGGAAAAATGGAGGATTGGATGGCGTTCATTCCCTATTTCTCAAAGTGAATATGTGAATAAGATTGAAACGAAATATTATATATTGTGGGAGGGTGACAGGCTAAACGAAGGACCCGCATGGTGAAGTGATGAACGTGTTAGCCCTCGGGAAGGCCAATAGTGCGTTCGTTCCCCATCCTAAGCACCTGCGGTCCGGAGTCTTGCAAATATCTCAGCATCATTGGGGTTATATTTTGCGACATACTTTGCCATTAAGAAAAGTAGGCAATATATAATAAGTTGAAATTATATATTCTCTTTAAGATGTTTCGTATAAATGATTGTGCGTTCTACAGTCGCTGACGATTTGAGCGCCATGATTAACCCTGTGAGAGCTCTGAAGGACTTCAAATCAGCAACCTTTACAATGAAGAAAATAAGACGCTTTCAGAGTTTATTATGAAGGCGAAGATTATGCAAGAACATAAGAAATTCCAGAAGCACTCCTCTTAAGTGTGAGAGCCTCTCGATGAAGAGCTGCCATAGATGTCTCTGTTTTCTTGAAATTTAACGTGGAATTGAACCATGGTCCCTTTCTCATCACTCTATGTCTTGCTGTAAGGAAGGGTTTGAAATGACAAAAGCTCGGAATAGTGTCCACAGTTCTCAATGCGTCAAGCGTTAAGTCGACGGTAGTTGCATAATCTAAGAGCCATGTTATCTACTTGTTAAGCGAATGCTGTGCATTCAGAAAAGGAAAATACTCGGCTTCTTCTCGTACATATTGGTTCAGTGGCCACAAGGCTACCAAAACAAGAAACATTGAACGTTGCAAGAATTTCAGGACGAAGAAATATCTGATCTGACCGGCGATCATGAATGTATCAGGCATTCGAAGATCTTCACGAATATCATTCACTTGGCTGCAAAAAATGTCGACGAACTGGAGCCACAGGTGGCTCCTGCAATATTTAAGTATGGCGAACGGCATTACACAACAAAGGCGGTAGGTGTTGTTCCAGATCATACACTCGTTGTTTTTCCATTGCTCATCAAGTTTGAGCTTCTTTTTGAATTCCACCGCAATTTTTTGAATAGTCAACTTGATTTCGATCGAACAAACTTATTAGTTGTATCACCCTGGCCTCCCGTTGATCGCCCAGTGACTCGAGCAGATGCCAGTGAAGTATCCACTTCTCCGTCGTATATAAGAGTACCCTAGTGTGCTCAGTTCACTCTGATATAATGCTGAGCATTTCATCTTTTTGGACCTTAGTGAAAATCTGGTTAGCGATCTTCCTGCGGTTGAGCATAACTTTCCATGAGATCCAGTCGCTGGCAGTTTTTGTTTACCGGTTGTCATCAGGACTTATCACTAGTCTGGTGAGCATTTTAGAGTGTGTAGCAGCGTCTTTGAGCTTTCGAAGGAAGGGAGGGAGGGGTGTTGACAACCTAGGATTCCCACTCCCAGTTGCGTTATTCATGACACTATTAGCGTCACGCTCTCGATTACACGATTGATACCTTCAAATCTATATGGTTCGCAAATCTTTATAGCTTCACGATTATTTGCTAGTTTTAGAGCGGTCTAATAACCGAAGAGAGCGTTCGAATGGTTTGTGCTCAGGTGGTTTGTACCGTATGCGATTTACTAGGAGACGAAGCACTACCACAGTGCGTCGAAGCTTGGATTGAGATGATGAGGTAGGTTTCGCCCATTTAGAGGCTGGGTGCAACCATGAGCTGTGAGAAGATTTTTTTCTAGAAGTAAATTTTTCTTCCCTTTATTGTTTATCGCTTTCAGGTATCTGGGTAGGAAACTTCTTGATGGGTTCGAATATGCCAAACTTACTTCTAAACATCGAATTAGCATTAATCGCAATGATCACCACCTTTTTTTGACCTTATGATTTGTCATTGGAAAGAATGTTGATTCTTATGAGAAAATCTATTATGTGTTCCCTAAACATCCAAGTAATCGATAACGAACGCTGCAGTATCCAGCAAAAAGGAGCGCTTGCAATAGTTTTTGACTGGACATTGTTGCGCCAAATTTTGACACCTTTAGATTATCCTTCTCCACTGGTATCCTTGAAGTGTCCGTCAGGTTTCTTCGCGATATTCTGCTCATTATTTGAAGATTGTTTTAGTTAAGGACGACTAGGTTGAATACTCTGGAATTGTTCTTGCGATGAGCTCCGATCTCATATTTGTATGAAATATGTTCATTCTGTCCCTTATCAAGAGTCGATGCCTCCGATTTCAGTTTGCGATGAAACGGAGTTTCTCTTTATCATCTCGTCCCAAGATTTTTCTAGACCCCTTCAAAAATGGTTTTCGTTTTAGGACCAACATTTGTATTCAAATGGTCAAAAATAGTTGACACAGTGTTAATGCTTCACCTCCGATGTTCATAATGTGACGAGACTGTGATAATTGCTAAATTCTTTTATCGTTCTTTCTTCTACAATTCGAAGAATAAAGATAATTTATTGCTTAACGATCTCTCGTAAAATACTCCACGTTCAAGGAAAACTCGCAATTGGTAATACTCGAATTTCGAACGAATTCTCTCATTTCGTAATATGTGGGCTTCCAAAAAGCCCTTTTTTGCACCACCGGACATCGACTTTACGGATCCCAGCGCTTCCTCAATACGATTCATTTCCTACCATCCGCACTCATCCACGAAGGCCTTCGGATTTGCATGTGGATTCGACTGTTGCGTGAGGAAATTGCTGTTCCCAGTGTTTTGAATGTGGGTCGAGTCGATTCTCTCTGTGATCCTTTAGTACCCATGATATGGCGTTTCCGCGTGGACTGAAGGGAGTGAGCTGGCTCCAGGCAAGTCAAGTACCAATTCCGAGATCCCGGAGAGGTAGGAGGTTTGGTGAACCCGAAATGGGGTCAAACAAAAGACTTGTACGCACCGAATAATATTAGCAACACTACGTTACCATCCTTTCGGAAAATATTCAGTTTTTTTTCAATACAAGCTTTCGCTTAAGACCAAAGACGCGTTCCGTAACATAATCACTGTACTCCATAAAATATGGATTCTATCGTTGTAAACAAGAAAACTTTTACTCCTTCAGTGACCTGTAGATTTCAGAAATTTCTGTTTTAAATGGTAACGTTCATTAGGAGCTGAGGTATTTTAGTTGAGACTTGAAAGCAACATAATTTTCACACTAAATGCATCGCACTCAATGCATATCGGTTGTTGCGTAGTAGCGCTAATCACGTTGGTAACCTCTATAGTAAACCGCTTCGTCGACATATTCAATAGCATTCCACCTACACGAGAGCAGGTATACTGTATCGAAACTGATTAAGGCTCATCTCTGCTGCTTTGCTAGCCATTCAAGGCACTGATAAAGAACGATATGTGCCTTATTAGAAACGATAAGCGAATTAAGAGAAACTACTTTTGGGCTGGATCTTTCAAAACTATCAAGTCTGAGTTTCTACTGACTTGTAGCGATTGAAGATACGAGTTGATCTACTCATTCCTCTCCTCCGCTCGTTTACCGGCAAACGTTTGACGGATATATCTCTTAGCTCCATCTTTGTACGCGAAAGATGAGCATAGAGGTATTGGACATGAATGTTTTATTATTCTCCTTTCAGGAACCTTTTGTTATGCGCTATCCTTGAAGTTTTTATAGGTTGTCAGCAGTCCAGAGCAGGACTATTTCATAAATGTCAAATTGACATACAATATACTCAGTCAAACGCCTTCATAAATTTAGCACATAGACATTACACATGAATTTTATTGACACAATAAACAGCTTTCTTTGAACATTCGTCGCCTTGTCCTTTACAAGCGTTCCACTTAATTGATGGACACCAGCCTAACGGATTCCTGCATAGGTGAGGAATGTCCCTGGCTCAGGTCAAAAATCCACCTCAGGTATGACGCTAGGTCACGATTGATCATAGGCACTCTTCCTAATACTTCATTTTTGGACTTCTCGAAATTATTCAAAACACTGTCCCAATTGTAACAACGCGGCTCTGAGGGAGGCGAAATCGCCGAAACGCCAGCCGCCAAGCAACAATAACGACAGCTTATACCAACGTTGCATCAGCCTAACAAGGGCAGTTCGCAGGAACACATAAATAAATATTCAAAACAGTTCAAGAGTTTTACTAGCTGATGTTTTGTATTTTTGTGCGAAGATAGTGCATCAAGACTTTTACCTTGTTGGGACGGCTTGCTGATATAGGAATACCAAGCAGTTAAGAAGATTCGCTCGGAATTGGCTGCTCGCTTTTGTCTGTGCCACGCGCCTCTTTTTGTGATTTAACTTTCACAATGCCGAACACCTCAAATTTGTGTGATTAAACCGTTTATAATGATTATACAACAATTATGGCATAACAACACAATCGTACAATTAATACGACAATGGTACAAGTAATAAACACGCACCTTCCAACGGTTTACCGCCTCATAGTGACTGGGTGTTCCTGGGTGTCGGATTGCTATGTAAAGCGGGAGGATTCGTCCTCCCGGCAGAACTCCCAAGCCCAAAAGGAGTCCAGCGTTTCCATCAAGAAGCCCTAAGAGTAAACCAATACCAGGATCCGCCACTGTGATGGCAATGATCCACAAGAGCTGCGACTGCCCGTGGTGGTGAAGACCTAAAGCAGACTTTGGTCAGGCTGACCTCGGGATTCCAGGGAGCCACAATGGCTTAACCAGCAAATTTCCGATAAGTGGTGATTATGCTGGGAGCCGCACAACCAGTGAGGACGGGCCGTTCGAGTGTCAAGTGTCAAATGTCAATAAATACGCACAGCCTGATCACTGGTGTTCAGGTTGCTTATGAGTGAAGAGGTTGTCATATGAATTCTGCTATATGAGATGGATGTAAGAAAAGTATATGGTAACTTGGGCAGGATTGCTGTGAACTGAACGAGCTAACCGGGGAGCGGTTTATATTCCTCGAAAGACCGACTTTCTATAAACCTCGGCATAGATAGTTGATATATTTATTTATGTGATCTTATAAACTGATCTTCTTAAGCTGACGCGAGGTTGGTACAGATCTTCGTTGTCGTTGTCGTTGTTTTTGATGTTATTGATCGATGGCTGACGTTTCGGCGACTTCGCATTCCTCAGAGCCGTGATGTTACGTGCGGGACTCCGTGAGTCCCGCACGTAACACCACGGTTTATATTCCTTTTGTGATGGGCGGAGTTAGGCTACTGTAGACGGAGAGACGGTTTGCCACTAAAAGGTATTGGAAACATTTCTTAAGCATTGAGATCTGATAAAGCGAGCGACTGATATTCAAAGCGTATAACCGCAACTGCAGATATTCACATAAGATAACAGCCTACGAAATGTTAAACATAAGGTTATCAGATCGTTATGAGAAGCAGCATTCGAAACCTTTTACATAGAGAACATTCCAGTGTTCGTGAAGAATGTTCTCTGTATACCTCAAGATTTTTTCCGTTATATCTTGTTTGCCTTGTGTGTGGCTGAGAAATGTTTTCTCTGGCTTTAAGTTTCCCAGCTATATCCCTTTTTCTGCGGAGGCAGTTCCGGAGTTTGAGGAGTGTATCCGTCTCGCCTACGTATCCTTCCCTACATGCTTTACAAAAAATCGGGTATATCGTGCCCAAAGTTGTGGAACAGCCATCCCTACCTTAGCGCAGACTGTGCAATTTTGTACTGTGTACAGACAGTAATACAGGCGGTTACTAACTAACTGAGATCTTAAAGATTTCGGTGGAATTTCAATCGCTCCTACTAAATTTTCCGGGCAGGCCCTTATTAAGCAGCACTGCATACAAGTCTCCTCCGTTAGAGATGAAGAGCATTTTAAATGGGACGTTATTTTCGCTGGGCTTGTCGTTTGTGGGTATGCTTTTTTTCTGAACCTATCCCGAAACGCTACCGTTTCTTACCCACCGGAAATGGCTATTTGGCGCGCCAAGCTCATGGATTTCTCCCGTTTTCTTTCTGTGTGCACATTGGGTGGCCGTTCGACACGTACTTCTCACGAACACCGTTTTCTGTGTAACAAGAGAAAGCTAATGAACGAGTCTGTTTTTATACTTGGCTTTCTGCACCATTATGTGATTTTTGTTATTTTCGAATAAATTAGTTTGAAAGTTTAGGTTAGTTTCTTTTTAGTTTTTTTACGTTCAGAAATGGAATACAGTTTCGATTTTTCTCGGGTGAATTTTATGTACTCCGATTGTTCGTTCAACTCAAAACATTTGTCTATATCCTTTTTTGTTGGACAGACCACGAAAGAGTCGTCGATATACCTATAATAGAGTATGCTCTTTTCCAGTTGAGCGAACATCTTGTCCTGTGTTCATCGTAAACACGCACGGAGTAGTCGAATTTCGATGTTCGCTGCTTGGTGGCTGTCCTCTTGTGAACAGCATAATTTATTTAGTGGTCTTTGTTTGATGAATATCAGAATGACTAGTTGTTTTAGGCAGCCGCGAAGAAAGTACGTCGTTTGTCTAGTTCAGAGAATATTCCGTGTTAGTGATAAAACTTTGATGGTTAAAAATAGCACCCAATTCGGAAACCTGAAGCTAGACAATTTACGCCAGTCTGCATGCTTTGTTGTCACTCATGATCTCATGCAATATTTCAGTGTGATAATTTGGCGCGAGAGAAGCACACTCCGCATTCATGTGAACTCTGTGCAGTTATTCTTCAACAATGAGTGGAAAACTTATTAAGTACAAAACGGTGAGGGTTTAGAAGAGGTTATTTACGATGCGAATGAAATTTTTGGATTAGTATATATTTGGTAAAGTTATTAAAACGTTTCATTGAGTAGAATGCGTGTCAATTTTACTTTTCCAGACTCCGAAGAAGGCGAAGCCCCTAAAAAGTCAACTATTGTGAGTAAATAGTGTAATAACAATC